TTTTTATTTTGAGGTAAGTCAAAATAACGCGCTTTTTATTATAAATTAACATAAACAAACATCGTAACTTCTTATGATCGCAGTATCATTTGGTCATGTGACATAACGATGTATTTATTTGCATTTAAACTTGGTGTTTGGAAACTTTGGCGGGGGTCTATATATAAATTGCAAGTCCTTTAAACCTTTTTCTGTAGGATAATCCCACATTATACATAATATAATTTACCGTACTTGAAAATAGATTATGTTGAAATTGAACTAACCAAAAAAAAAGAAATTCAATCTATAAATCCTGTACCATAATAGATTTAATTTTTACATATCACTAGGAAAGAATAAACGAATCAATGATAGAGAAGGTTAATGACCTAGATTGATTCCTCGTATTAGAAGAAATTACTGCGAATCCAGTTTAATTAAGGATTAATTATTCACGCAATAATTGCTTGCAACTCAGTTTGGTTTTTCGTGCAATTGAGGAATTTTTTTCACTAAAAAAAAGTGAAAAAAAGTCAGTAACCTAGAAAGGTTTGCCTTCGCAAAGGAAAAATGGTAAGATATCTTTTAACAATAAGAGAGTTTAATAGTCACGAATGATCCACACGTATACGTCCTCAGGTCTCTAAATAAGGGAAGCGCCTTGCAATCTGGAAGGAGTACCCTTAACAAAGAAACGGTTTGGCTTCGCTATTAGATTGTGAACAAGGAACTTACATTTAGCATAGCCCGCCGATTTCTCACGATATAGACAGGAAGAAGGAGTAGGGCTTGGAGTTTGAAGTTTAGAGGAGAAAAGAGGATGAATATCTTGAACGATAATTTAGCTTTACTAAAAACATTCTTTTCCTTTTTCTTTTATTTTCTGTAGTTGTGAGTTGTGAGTAAAATAATTTTCGCTTTGTAATCCATTACGTAATTTCTTACATTCAAAAATGAAAGGAACCTCGGAGTCAATACGCCTCTGATACAACCATAGCAGAACTTCTACTTTGCTTGAATAAAAAGTCTTGTGCAACTGTTATTTTCTTGGAACCTTTCATATTTGTGTCCAAGAATTTCATAAAGATTTACCAGTGACAAAACTAACTGACGGTACAATAGGACCATGAATAATAACCATTAAACGTTCGCTTATGAATTTGTTTTATATTCATTCGTATAAGTTCTTCATCAGATTTTCGCACACTTCCCTTCAACTTTTATGTAATCTATAAAAGTAAGTGACTAATGACTTTACTTTCAGAAAGTATTAGGTTTAGGAGTGGCATTTATGATCAAGCAACTTTCATCTTAA